TATCACCTATCTCTCAAATGCCAAGTTTATCATCCAGGCATGAGTAAATACGAGAACTCCCTCTCTCAAGGAGTTAATAATCTAGAGAAGGAGATGGCCCAAAGGCCAGCAATTGGAATACCAACATGGTAATGTATGTGAGGGCCCTTTACTCTCTGTCCCGGGCTGTATACTTCAAAGGAATTCCAGAGAGGCAGAGGAAGCCAAGTGAGATACTGACATATTCGCCAGGAATCTCGGGAAGGATCTGGAGCCTTGGGACACAATGAGCACAAAAACCAGGATCTGCAAGAGATAGAAAAGGAGGAAGATCAGAAAAACAGAAGCTAGGGAACAGAAAAGAGCACACCAGATTTTTCAATTTAGAAGGTGAAGTTTCCCAGAAATCACAAGGGCTGTGAGCAAAGACAGCCGAAGTGGGGCTGGGGGAGGTGTTCAGCCTTGGGAACGTGCAGGTAAAGAGTCTAAGAGGTCAGGTTCCTGGAGGGGCCTCCCTGCAGATGTCAGAGCAGCACAGCAGGGGCAGGGGGCAGGGCTGCTCCGAGACCTCAGGACAGCCCATCAGTGAAGGCTGCAGGGATGCAGGAGGGCGGCTAAGGCTCGGGGTGGACCGAGCCCAAAGGCGCAGGACAGTGATCTGATGTTGCCCACAGATACCCTAATGCACCAGAGACATAGAATGAGCAGTGGAGGGACAAGGAGTGTCAGGAGGCCTAGGGTCAGGAGTCCAGTACCAGAAATCTCCATGGAAGGGCATCTGGGAGTTGTGGGCTGGCCCAGAGGCAAGGAAGGCAGCAAGGAGGAAGGGAGGGTGAGAGGAAGAGGCAGCCTGTTGTATGTGGCCTCGAAGGGGCTGGGCTCCAGGCTCCAGCTGCCTTGTGCCCAGGGGGAACCTGATTTCATCTGCCAGGGTAACAGCAGTTAAATAGGGGAATCAGACAGAGCTCTGGAGCCACAGGGCTCAAAGTATACATACAGCCCATCGAGATTCCATCCCTACCTGGAATTGCCTCCAGAAATGACCTAAAGGCCGCCTGATCCAACATCCTCCCTTAGTGGGTAAGAACATGGAGACTTGGGCATGGAAATGACTTCCAAAGCCCACCCAGCATGTCTGTCAAAGCTAAGACAAGAACCCAGTTCCCAGCCCCTAGGCCCTCTGTCAGCTTTGACCAGGTCCCAAAGGCCAAAGGACACAGAGCCTGGGGGACATCCCACTGGCTGGTGCCTAGTGTTACACCCCCATTATGATGCCTGGTATAATATCAACAGCTAGGAAGGAGCAAAAGGCCAGCATAACAGTAGGCTGGCTGTGGGGAAGGGGAAAGACCCAGGCCCGCTCTTAGTCCCAGGCACGGGGGAAGGGGCACAGTGATGGGATCACAATGGCAGGTGCCCTGTCTGTTTCCTTGTCTGCTTCCTTGCTTTGAGCACAGCT